GGAGGCTGAAAATCTGGGTGCGTCTTATACACTGAATACAGCATTTTGGCCTCCCGAAACCCCACCCCCTTCACCAAAATGGCCGTGCATAGCCTTTAGGAGGTTTCCAGAGTGCTCCTGGGGGCTGGGGAGGGCAGAAATGAGCAAAAAACAGGCTATTTTGGGGAGGTCTGCAGAGTGCAAAAACGTTTTTAAAAATTTGCCTCTTCTAAATCTTGGTGCATCTTATACTCTGGTGCGTCTAATACTCCAAAAAATATGGTATGTGCAAAGGGAATCTTTACCTTTATCTATTGGAGACGGTGACCCTTTGAGAGCTGTGTGCAACTCGATTTCATTTTAATGTAGAAACGATTAGTGCACATTCCAAGTGGCAATAAAGTTATTCCAAGTTTAAGTCCAAAACCTTTCCCTCTTTGAGCCGTTCTCCCTATTTTCTTGCTTTTGTGGCAGAGTTCAGCTGCACGATCGCCAAAACCTTTTCCCCCTACGTTTTAAAGCATTTTCTTTCCTGCTTATTCGCCCAAACCGGCAGGAAAAAATGCTTTAAAAAGTGTTACGGGGAAAATAGGAGGAAGGTATGTTGGATTTGTTTGCCACCTTATTTGTAAAAATAATAAAGGCGGGATATAAATAAACTTTTCAAAAAAAAGTGTGTGTGTGTGGGGGGGGATTGGCCACGCCCACCCAATCACGTGACATCCCCACCATGCCACACCTACAGAACCGGTGGCAAAAAAATATTTCGATTCCACCACTGCCCCCCACCTGCAGGGAGAATGGACGGATGGAAGGGCAGAGATGCTGTGTTTCGTTTCCTCCTCCGACAAAGGATGAGCTGGACCTAAGCCAATCCCTGAGCTTTCCCTGGGCCCTGGAAAGGGGGGGGGGCTTGGGAGGGCTTGAAGGGGGTATAAAAGCAGCCGAAGAGAAGCAGGCCGGCGCACCTGGGTGGGAGGAGGGGGTCCTTGTCCCAGAAACTGCCGTGAAGTAAGGATGAGCGGCCAGGCTCCCTGCTCTGCTTCGCTTCTTCTGCTTCTGCTGCTGCTGGGTCAAGGGGGAGCCAAGCCCCTGGGCGAGATCCAGGTAAGAGGGAGGCTGCTGCACCTGGTGGGTTTCTGCAGGCTCAAAGGATGGATGGGCTCCCTTTGAGAATAAGGAAGGGGTTGCTTGCAAGCCAGGTGGGCTTTTCCTGCCTGCCTCCCTTCCCTCGAAGCAGGTCCACCCCCCAAAGGAAGGCAAGCCATTTGGACAGAGGCGACTGCCCCACTGGGATGAGATGGGAGACAGAGCAATTGTTGCTTGGAGGCTGGCCAGCTCCCAATCTTGCAGGGAGGAAATTAGATCTTGATTGTCTTCCTCCTCCTCTGTTCTGTCTCCTCCTCCTCCTCCTCCTCCTCTTCTTCATTTCTTCCTTCATCTTCTCCTTCTCTTCATCTTCTTACTCCTCCTTTCCTTTTTTCCCCTCTTCTTCTTGCTCTTCTTCTCCTTATCTACCTCCATCCTCTCCTCCTCCTTTTTCTTTCTTTCTCTTCTTCTCCTTCTCCTCCACTTCCTCCTGCTTCTCTCCAACTCCTCCCTCATCTCTTCTTCATCTTTTTACTCCTCCTTTCCTTCTTTTCTTATTTCTCTTCTTCTCCTTCTCCATCTTCTCCTTCTCTTCCTCCTCCTCCTTCCTCTTTTTTTCTCTTTCTCCTCCTCCTCCACCTCTTCTCCACTCCTCCATCTTCTTACTACTACTACTCTTTTTCTTCTTCTCCTCTTCTTGCTCTCCTTCTCCTCCCCCTCTTCTTCCTCCTTCCTATTCTCCTTCCTCTTCTTCCTCTCTCCTCCTTCCTCTTCCTCTTTTCCTCCTCTTCTTCTCCTTCATTGTCTCTTCTTCCTCTTCCTCCTCCTCCTCTTCTCCACCTCCTCCATCTTCTCTTCTTCTTCTTCCTCCTTCCTCTTTTCCTCCACCTCACCTCCTCCTTCCTCTTCCTCCTCCCCCCTGCTTGCAGAGCTTATCCTCATTGTTTGAGGAAGACCTGGAGCCCCCTATGGGCGCAGAGGAGATGGACCAGGGCCGGGAGGAGTCCCTGATGGCTGGAGCCCTGGACCAGCCAGACGTGGTCTTCCCGTGGGCTAGAAGCCTGGAGGAGCATCCGGTCGATTTCCAGCAGCTTTTGAGAGAGTTGCTCAGCTCTGCCAGGAGGCACCAGTCCAGGAGCAAAAAGGGGTCGTCACGAGGCTGCTTCGGGGCCAAGCTGGACCGTATCGGAGCCTTCAGTGGGATGGGATGCTGAGCTCCAAGCGAGCAGGTGAGTCCCTGGCTGGAAATGTCATTTGAGTCAAAAAAAAAAAGTTACATGTTGGCAACTAATTAAGATGGGCAGAAAGCCCCCCCCCCCCAGCCCATCCAGCCTCAGACCAGGCAGCCTGGCTGTCACTCAGAGTCAGGAATCCGTTCCAGTGATCTGGCTTAAAGTGTTCCGTTCATTTCAGACCATGAGGACTAGATACTTACTTTCTTCATAGGGTTCCAAGTGGGGCCAAGATCTTGAACTTTCAACTAGGTGGGGAAGCTGTCAGATTCGGGTTAATGTCAGGGTTCCAAATAGCATCCAAAAGTAAANTCTTCATAGGGTTCCAAGTGGGGCCAAGATCTTGAACTTTCAACTAGGTGGGGAAGCTGTCAGATTCGGGTTAATGTCAGGGTTCCAAATAGCATCCAAAAGTAAATCAGAATCCAAGGCAAATTATTGCTCAAAGTTCCAATTTATTAAGAGAGACATGTTGGCACATCTGGGAAACCCCGAATCTGAAAGCTTCCTGGTTTTCCCCACCCAGATGAAAGTTCAACATCCTGCCCTCCACACCCACAAGTCCATCATATGGTCCAATCTCCCACTGCCATGCTGGCAGCTTCCACCCATCCAATTCCGGTCAGGTGCAGAGGTGCAGAGAAAAAGGATGACCTTGGCTTTCTAGAAAGAATGTTGTTATGGCTACATTGCATCTCACTCCTACAATTCCCCCTCCCATTTTCCCACAATAGAAAATAGAAAGTGTGGCAGGCCAAAGATCCAAAAGAAAAGATGGCTGCAGGACAGACAGAGCAACCTTATCTCCTGCCACCAGATCAGAAGTGGGGGCCTTTCCAGCAAGGTGGACTGTTTCTGGAGCAATTCTGCCAGCTGCCCGGATCACTGAACATTGCTGATGCAGAGACTCTCACCAACAGAAGGAGGTTCCCCACTGTCTCTCTGTCTGAGTCCCTGCTCTGGATGTATTACCGTATTTTTCGGAGTATAAGACGCACCTTTTTCCCTGAAAAAAGAGGCTGAAAATCTGGATGCGTCTTATACACTGAATACAGAATTTTGGCCTCCCGAAACCTCACCCCCTTCATCAAAATGGCTGTGCATAGCCTTTAGGAGGTTTCCAGAATGCTCCTGGGAGCTGGGGAGGGCAAAAATGAGTGAAAAATGGGCCGTTTTTTTGCTCAGTTTTGCCCCCCCATCCCCCAGAAAGCATTCTATAGGCCTCCTAAAGACTATGCATGCCCTTTTCTGACATAAAATGAGCCTGTTTCTGTGAAAAACAGGCCATTTTTGGGAGGTCTGCAGACTGCAAAAACTTTTTTTAAAAAATCTGCCTCTTCAAAATCTTGGTGCATCTTATACTCCGAAAAATACGGTACTTTCTTCCAATTGAGAGACTGCCAGTTCTCCAAAGAGGCTCTTGGTGGTCTCCTTGTGAGAACAGGGTCAGCTTTACCTGGATTGTCCTCCTCAATCTGAGCCACAAACCCAACACAACCCCTATCATCTTCTTTCAATGATTCTGAAATCCCTTGCAGGTGGAGTCAGGGCAACTGAATGGGACTGAATGTTTACTGGCCAGATGCCTTTCCTGTTGCCAATGGAGAGTTTTGTTCAGCAGATATATTCCCAATGTACCCAAAGAGAGAAATATCTGCCTCTACCCAGGATAGAACTCAGGGTCTCCTGATTGTGAGGCGGGAGCTCCACCTCTAGGCCACCGCACCACTCCAACACTACCCCTATCCAAGCAAGAATTTTAAATATACACAGCCCTCGACTTACAACAGTTCGTTTAGTGACCGTTGGAAGTTACAACAGCACGGACAAAAGATGACCATTTTTCACGCTACACTTACAACCCCCTTTTCACACTTACAACCCCATGGTCACATGACCAAAATTCAGATGCTTGGCAACCGACTCGTACTTATGACGGTTGCAGTGTCCCAGGGGGAGCACACAATCCTTTTTGGCAACCTTCCAACAAGCAAAGTCAATGGGGACTAAAATGGGGCAAAGCCCGCTTTAACAAGTGTTTTGCTTAGCGATGTAAATGTCGGGCTCGGTTGTGGTCGTAACTCGAGGACTACTTGCTGTTTTTTTTCCCCCCTGCACAGGCTTTCCAGCCGAGACCCACACCAGCGGCATCTTCCCAACGCCCCCCTCATCATCATCGCAGCAGCATCAAGTCAGCCCCTCTGCAAACGTGTCTCTCCCAACCCCACCCCGAGAGCACTTGATCCAGAAGGATTCATTCACACATGCACGTTGAGTCTTTGGGAAGCTGGTTCAGAGGGGCTGAGCATCTGTCCTACGGGTTGTTTGCGCAGAGGGATCCCTCGGCACTCCAGTAGAACCTCCATGTACAGGAAATGCCAAGTGTATATATATTTTTTGTCCTCCCCGGAAGCATCTCTTAGGGGGGGAAAAACAGCTCGGTTTTTTGAAATGGAAACAAGGTGTGTCTCTCTGTGTGTGTGTCTGTGTTTCTGTGTAGGAGCCCACACAGAGACGAAACTCTTCTGAAGGGTCTAACTTCAGGCCAACCAGGAAAGAGGATCGACCTCGTGAAAATGTAATTGTGCGAAATGAATCCAGGGGAACAAGCCACGCTAATTTGTACGTGATTGCATATACATCCTAACAACATCATACTTGTGATGGTCATATACTGTATGTTAGATTTTACAATTTGTTCAATTACAGTTTCCAAAACCTCTTTGGGCTTCTCCATTTCAACCAAAACAATCAGTGGTATTTTATTATTATAATACTTTATTCATTAAACATGAAACTCAGTCAACTGAACATTATTATTATGTGGTTAATCTTTGGTGAGATTCACAGCCTTTGGCGCTGGTTGGTAGCTCAACAGCTCGAGTCCTAACCAAGGACCTAGGAACTGTTCAGGTAACATCGGAGGTTATAAGTTGTTCTTACGTTATATGTTATTATTTTTATTTATTATTTATCTCACAGTCAGCCAGATGTTCAGTCTGGCTTTGGCATTTTTGTCTGCCTATCGAGTCCTTACCAAGGACCTGGGATAGGCAAATCTGGGTGTTTGATGGTGTTACAGATTATCATCGCAGGATGGAAGCAGTTCCAAGTAAAGCTGCCTTCTGCAATTGACTGATGGCAAATTTGTCAATGCCTGTGGGGGTTCCAGTGGTGCTCCAGTTGTTTTGAGACTGCACCCAAGGCGCCTATGATGATTGGTACTACCCTGGCTTGCCTTTGCCACAGTTGTTCTATTTCTATTTGTAGGTCTTTG